GGGGGGTCTCTTGAAGGACAGGGTTGAGGTTTTCTTCGTGGGGGGGGGGGGGTCTCTCAATGCATAGGGCTGAGTTTTTCCTCTTGGGGGGCTCTTGAGGTCCAGGGCTGAGTTTTTCCCTACCTCACGTTGCTTCTTGCTCAAAGTTATGATTTTTACACCCCCATTATAGGGGGAAAAACCCCTCCTGGTGGTTTTTTTTTTTTTTTCTCCAGAGGCTTTGTGTTTGTCGAGGGGAGACCTCCCTGGTCCCCCAGCCCAGACTCAGGGGGGTGGCAGCACCTTGCTCCACGGCTGCTGGAAGAAACAAGAGATGAATTCCTTACTTCTTCAGAATAAAAAGTGGGATTTAGGGCGGGGAGGTGACCCCCAGACAGGGGTTTTGGGGAGAGGAGAAGCCACCGAGCTCTGGGGCCTCTGTTTCAGGGGAGATGGAAGGACAAGTGGGAGGCTCCAAAACAGCTTCCATCGTGGCCGATGTGTCTGAGACCACCTTTGAGACCCTCTTCGGGGAGGAGAGGTGGGTCTGGCAGCACCCGTTGTCCCAATGGGAGGTGCTGGGGGGGTCCCTCTCGGCAGCAGCCCCCCCAGGTGCCCCATGGGCTGGATGGGGGGCGATTTCACTGGTGTTGGTTTCAGGATTGGGGGTGAAGTCCATTCCATGGTGTGGGACCCCACTGGGGAGAGACTCGCCGTGATCCTCAGAGGTGGGTGCTTTGCTTGAACCCCCCCATCCTTTCCAGCAGGTGAAACCCCCACCGGGGTGAGGAATGGGGTCGGGAAATCATGGAATGAGTCAGGAAATGGTGGAATCCCAGGTGGGAAGGGACCTGGAGGATGCGCTGGTCCAACCTCTCTTGGCAAAAGCCACGCTCCAGAGGAGCCGGCCCGGCTTAACCTTAAAAATGGGAATAATCAACCTTAAAAATTGAGGAATTCCCCATTTTCCCAGGGAGATTATTCCAGTGACTGATTGTTCTCAGCATGAAAACCTTTCCTCTTGTGTCCGGGAGTAACTCATACCCATCACCCCTCATCTTTGCCCTGTGGCCCTTGGAAAAGCTGGGGGAGGGGGGTCTCCATCATCTTTGTGACCACCCTTTAAAGAAGGGAACGTGGAGAAAAGGTCTCCCCAAGAGCTGTATTTTCTCTGGGTGGAACAAACCCAGTTCCCATGGGCTTCCCAGTCCTGGGATCATTTTGGTGGCCCTTCCCTGGCCCCTCTCCAGCCTGGCCATGGCTTCTTTTTTTGTACAGTGAGGACCAAAATGGAACATGTTATTCCAGGTGGGGTCTGACCAGCACCACGTAGGTTCTTTTTCTCCTCGGTGATGCAGCCCAGTGTCCTACTGGGGTTTTTTTCACCACAGGGCTCAGCCACATCGAGCTCATTGTCACCAGGACCCCTAAATCCCTTTCCATGGAGCAGATCCCAGCCTCTTCTGAGCTCCAGGATTTGCTTTTCCAAGATGCAAGACCTTGCTTTTGTCCTTGTTGAACCTCACAAGGTTCTTGTTACCCAACTCTTCCAGCCCCATCCAGGGTGGTCGCCCTCCCCCAAGGGCCCACTCCCCCAGTAAGGTTTGGTGCCACCAGCAAATGTCACCAGGACAAACTGGATCCCACCACCCAGATCGTTTATAAGGATATTAAACACAAATTCAATCCCTGGGGGACCCAACTTGGGACAGGGAAGGCAGCACCCACCTTCCATCCTTCCTCACCAGGACTCCACTCCCCTGTACTGGGATGTGTCCCAGTTCCCTCCCCATTCCCAGTGGGATGAATCGCCTTTCCCACCCCACATTGTGCCTGGAAGCCCAACTGGGCCTCTTGGCTCCGTGTTTTTTAGGAGCAACTCCCGGGATAATGGAGCCATTCGGGCTCTCCCGGACAAAGCAGACCTTGGAGGGAGCAGCAAAATACAGTGCTGGGGGTGCTGCTGCCTTGGTGTCCCCCGGCCTTATCACCAGTGGGGACAGAGCTGAAGCCACTGGGCCAAAGCTAGGGTTTTTTTGCTATGCTTAAAGTTGGGTGGGGAAGAAACTGGATGGGGGGAGAGCCTGGGGGTACCAGGACTCCCGTAGCTGCCCCCCCTGGCCCCATCCTCTGCGCCTCCAGGGAGGTCCTGTGAGGATTTTGGTGCAGAAATTGGGATGGGATGGAAAAAAACCCCCACCAACCTTCACTTCAGAGCGTGGGACCCCCACGTCATGTCTTATAGGCTGGGGGGGTTCCAAAGGACCCCCCATGTCACACTGCGGGGGGGTTCCAAAGGAGATGCCTCATCTCTTCTACAAACCCTTCTTGGCCAAAACCCCCAAGAGCTTGGAGCCGGCTTTAAAATCACTGAAGGGTCTTTGAAAGCCCCATCTTGAGGGGAGGAAAACGCCATCCGCAGCCAGCTTTGCCCCCTCCACCCCCCCGTCCGGTGTTGGGGGACCCACCTGTGTCCCGGTGCGGTCCCTCGGACCAGGGGAATCCTCACTGCTCCTTCCCTTTCCCTCCTCCAGGACATCCCGATGATCCCGGGAGCCAGGCCATCGTCGCCGTCTTCCGCACCCGCAACAGCCCTGTCTTTGAGCTCCTGCCCTGGTGTGTAACCGGGGTTTTTTGGGTCAGTTTTGGGTCGGTTCGGGGTTGGTCGAACACCAGGAATCCCCTTGAGGAAGGGTGGGGAAGAGCAGACCCACCTTGGAGTGAAGAGATGCTGCCGCCCCGTGCTCTTGTCACCATTTTCCCTCAGAATCTGTTGAGTTTTGGCCAAATTATCCATTATCCACCTCCAAAATGCTTTGTTTTGGGTTCTTCTTACCCGGTACCTCCCAGCCAGGGTCAAAAATATCACCGTTTAACCGTGGACTACCCTGAAAACGCCATGTTTTGTCGAGTGGGTTTTAACCCTATTTTTCCCTTTTTCCCTGCAGCGGTTTCCTGCGAGGGGAAGGGGGGGCACAGCCCCAGCTCATCGCCTTCCACCCCTGCTTCAAGAAGGGCGCCCTCCTGACCGTGGTGAGTGGGGGTCCTGCTTTCGGTGGGTTTGGGGACCCCCCGTCATTGTCCCTCGAGGGAGATACTGAGCAGAGAGGGGTGAAAAAATGTCCCCATGGTGTCACAGGTCCCCATCACTGTCCCCAAGGGAGATCAGTTGGGAGGGTGGAAAGATGTCCCCAGGGTGTCAACAGTTCTTGGGGGTCCCCATCGCTGTCTCTGAGGGACATCAATCCAGTGGCTGAGCAGGGAGGGGTGAAAAGATGTCCCCTCGGTGTCACGGTTCTTGGGGGTCCCCACAGGACGTCAATCCGGTGGCTGAGCAGGGAGGGTGGAAAAACATCCTCAGGGTGTCACAGTTCTCGGGGGTCCACATCTCTGTCCCCTGAGGGACATCCATCCAGTGGCTGAGCCAGGAGGGTGGAAAAACATCCCCAGGGTGTCACAGTTCTTGGGAGTCTCCATCGCTGTCCCCAGGTCCTATGGCTGAGCCAGGAGGGGTGGAAGAACATCCCCAGGGTGTCACAGCTCCCCATCGCTGTCCCCGATGGAGATCCATTGGTTGGGTGGAAGAAACGTCCCCAGGGTGTCCCTGCAGAGGGGAGAGGGTGGGGAAGGACCGGGAGGGCAGGGTGACGCTTGGATTGTCACCTCCCTGCCGTCTCCTGTACTCATCTGCCTCCTCTTCCTCCTCCAGTGCTGGTCCACGGGGAAGATCAGCCACGTCCCCTTCTTCTTCGTCAGCGCCCACATCCCCTGCGCCAGCCCCGGCCCCGTCACAGCCAGTGCTGGGGGGTGGGAGCAGCCCCTCTTCTCCGAGCGGTGACAACACCCCTGTCCTCAGTGTCCCTGTCCCCCCAGAGCCAGCGTCGGGACGGTCCCTCCGTCCTCATCCTCCTGGGACACACGGCAGGGCCGTGGGTGCCTTCGGTCCCTCCTGGGGGGTCTTGTGGGGCCAGAGGGATTAAATCTGGCTCTTTTCCCCCCCTCTCACTGCTGCCCTTCTTTTTTTTTGGGGGGGGGGGGGGCACGTCTTGAAGCCCTGTGGGTCTTGGGTGCAATTCTGGGGGGGTCTGGGGTGGCTTTTTGATGTCAAAATGAACCTGGAGGAGAAAAATCCATCCCCTGTGCCTTAATTAAAACAGATTTAAGGGACCTACTGCCATGGTGTGACCCCCCCCACTGGGGACCCCCCCTTTGTTATGGGGCTGAAGAGCTGCTGCCCCACAGGAAGGGGAGGAAATGGGGGAAAAGGGGTTGTAAGTGCAGCCTTGAGGGGGGGAAACCCCCCCAAAGTGAAGCAAAAGCTGTGGGGCCATAAAACCTCAGATCATGTGGGATGGGAAATGGGGCTGGAGCCCCAGCTCGTGCTGCCCCACGTGACCCCAAACAGTTGGGGGGGTGGGAGCAGATGGGACCCCCCACACCACCACCCTGAGCAGGGATTAATGATGAGATTTGTGGGGGGAGAGCAGGGTTAAACCCCGGGATTACACGTGGTTAATCCCCAGGATTATGTTGTCATCGCTCTGCAGAGATGAGGGGGAGAACGTGGGGTCCCCCCCCACGCCACCCCACATCCCCTGCGCCAGCCCCGGCCCCGTCACAGCCAGTGCTGGGGGGTGGGAGCAGCCCCTCTTCTCCGAGCGGTGCCATAAAACCTCAGATCATGTGGGATGGGAAATGGGGCTGGAGCCCCAGCTCGTGCTGCCCCACGTGACCCCAAACAGTTGGGGGGGTGGGAGCAGATGGGACCCCCCACACCACCACCCTGAGCAGGGATTAATGATGAGATTTGTGGGGGGAGAGCAGGGTTAAACCCCGGGATTACACGTGGTTAATCCCCAGGATTATGTTGTCATCGCTCTGCAGAGATGAGGGGGAGAATGTGGGGTCCCCCCCCACGCCACCCCAGCCCCTGGGGTCTGCAGAGAGCCCCCAGGACCCCCCCAAAATCCCCCCCCAGAGCCGAGGGGCAGGGTCAAAGATGGGGGGAGCCCCAAGGGGGTCAGCACGAGGATATGGGGGTGAAAAGGGGGTACGAACCCTCTCCAAGTCGCTGGGGCAGGTCTGGGGGGGGGCTTCACCCCCCTCTGGGGCTCCCCCGTTTGCTGCCAGTTCGTGCCCACGGCGGCTCAGAGGATGGTGGTGAGTGTTTCTTCCTCCTCTTCCTCCTCCTCCTCTTCCTCGGGGCTGGTGGGCAGCGCCCGCAGGTATTCGAGGTGCAGCCGGGTCTCGGCTCGGCTCCTCCGGACGTAACGGGCCACGTAGAGCAGGAGGGCACCGAGCCACCCCCCCACA